TGCTTTTGCCTGATGAGCACTCTAGCATGATGGATTGACTTTGCCATACCAGACTTGAACACGAGAGTTTGGAGACGACGCTCAAGGAAATTCTCCACAGTAAGGGCCAAGACATAATCGAGCTTGCTCTGACTCTCATCCAAAAGACCATACCTGTTCATCCTCCTAAGCAGAGCCTCTCCCTCAAAAATCCTACGCGGGTTCTTTTCATCAAGCGTTAAGAGCATCCGAGCATTGTTTCGGATTCGGCTCAATGCATATTGAACCCTCCACAACTCCCTCTTACAACGAAGCCCATATTCTCCAACCAACTTCAACTCTGCATCCAAACGCTCCTTCTCATAAGGACGTCGGGGTTTCTTGAAAGTCTTCCCATCTACATAGAGATAAAACCCAAGATACAATTATCTCCGCTTTCAGCAAAAACACCAAGAAGACGCATTACGTTTTATAAGTCGTCACATAAGATGAACTATATCATATACTAATCTCCACATAATGCAGTGAACAAAATTATGAAAAATAAAAAGCTGAGATAAGATAGTCAAGCATCATAACTCCTTTAAACCCAATGTCACCAATTCTACAACATGCTCAACGATCCAACAAGTGAAGCTAACATCAGAAGCTCACAAAAAGAGTTCCAATATTCAAGTAAAACGAATTAAATCCTCAGAAATCTTCCAGCTACTAGATCAACAAAGTTGCATAATGTATGCGAAACACAATCGGAGAACCCAATCGAAGAAACAACGAAAAGGAATCCAAACAGAAGTTCTAAAAAATCGGTAATGAAAAAGAAAACATACATGACAGATCTTTGACGAACAAATTAGATGAGAATGGATATGCATCGGAGCTTTATACTTACAGTTCCTATAGAAAGAGACGTGCACCATGATCTCTTCTCTGCTACGTCTTCACTAACTGAATGATCTCGAATGCAAAGGAGAGGAGAAGAGAGGCACCCCTGAAGCAAAAGAGTGTAGAGAAGCGGCTAGGGTTTTTACACTATCATTTTCTTATTTTCCTTTTCTTTCTTTTTTTATTATTATTATTTTTTTTATTAATAGATTAAAGTTGGGCCGTGGGTTGGGCTGCTAGAGTGAAAAGAGTTGGGCCTGAGATATTAATAACAATTAGAATTTTTAAATTTTTTTTTTTAAATTAAAAGTAAATATTTTATATACCGCTAATAATATATATATATATATATATATATATATATTTTTTTTTTTTTTTTTTTAATTTAGGACATTAATAAAAATCCCAAAGAGGAAGCATTGAGAAGCTACTTTGTGTGCATGCAACCTTTCAAGCCAATGAAATGCACGCTTTGCGTGACGTTGTATATTGCTCATTGATGTTGTGTCGGACGTTCAAAGTTTCTCAATGCTTAAAACACTAGTCCTCTTTATTCTATTCGAAGTGTCTAAATCTTTTATGAGTGCATCTCGACACTATAATGTCTTCCCTTGTATGAAAGGGCAGTATCTCGACGTTGTTGCTAACATCTCGATGTTGTTTATCACTATATAAAAACTTCATTTTGTAAAGAATACATATCTTTATTTTTTTTGGACGTTCATTTCTAGACACCTAAAACAATCATATGTCTTTCATTTCTTTAAATATTGAAATAATCGTGTTTCGAAGTTTGGTCATATCGTCATGATGAGTAGTTAAGTTTCATGCTTTCAATTAGGTCAGTTCACATTTACAGAGATAGCATAACATAGATTGACAACCAATCCCCACAATATATGATAGGTTAGGACGAGTGAGAGTAATCTCGAAGTATCTCGCGTTTATTGATTAGGGTGAATCAATCCGTAATCGAAGTGGATACTTGTGATTGCGATGGTTAGGTTATGTGATGTCCCACATTGGTTGGGGAGGAGAACAAACTACCATTCTTAAGGGTGTGGAAACCTTCCCCTAACAGACGCGTTTTAAAGTCTTGAGGAGAAGCCCGAAAGGGAAAGCCTAAAGAGAACAATATCTGCTAGCGGTGGATCTAGGCCGTTACAGGTTACCTTGTTGAGCGCCTGTAATCGATGTCATCAGGTAATTTTGTGAGGCCTCAATAAGCATGATTGCTAAGTAGGCCTTTGATCTTGACCTTAGTTAGGCATTTGATCTTTGACTTTGGCTTCAATTTGTTGCTCAATTTTTCGTTGATCTAACTTTGCACACGCAATCATGTTATAAATGAGGCTTCATGTAACGATCTTAGTTTTCTACTTACCTAAAGTCGTTACTGTATGCATTACGTAACTTCTTATGCGAAAATATTTTTTTAAAATGTCTTCATAAAACAATGTCATGAACTTACATGTTTAAGAAAATGTTTAAAACAATACAACTGAAATATTGAAATAAATATAAGTAAATGCAAAAATAGTAATGCCCTGTCCTAGTCTATGATCTACGAAATTAAATGCAACTACCCTATACATGTATCATAGTCTTTAATCATGATGTCGCCGTAAACCGTACAGAGGTACATTGTCTTTACCTGAATTATAGAAGTAAAGAAATAATGAGCAAGTGACTCCTCTATTGGGGTCAGAGAATACAAGCACATGTAATTATGATTAGGGGGCTATTATTTATGTAACGACCCTAAATTTCAACATACTCAGAGTCGTTGCTAACCTCTCATACTCATCTATAATGTGGAAATATAACTCTTACATAAACATTATTTATAATGTAAACTTCGAAAAGCGCTTAAAACAACTTCTTTTTTAGAAAACACAACTATGGTCTTACGTGTTTAAATATGAAATACTGAAATTTAAAGAACTTTAACGCAATACAAAATAATTTAAAACTATTAAATGCATAACAACTTATTTTAACCTAAAACTAGAAAATTAAATATGAATCTACCCTATGCACATGTCACAGTGCCTGCTCACGATGTTGTCATCCTCCATACAAGTGTGTCTTGCCTTTACCTGAAAAACGATGTGGCACAAGACCTGAGTATTTCGAAGAATACTCAGTAAGTGGCCCCACTATGGGATTCTGCTAATTTGTAGCGACGTTTGAAGGTTAGCAGAATCCCATAGTGTCATGCGCCTCATGATTACCCTCATCATCATACAGTGCGTATTCGAACTCATCATCATGTTGTGTGCATTTGCACTCATCATCATACTATGTGCTTCCGTACTCATCATCATATTGTGCACGTCTGCCCTCGTCATCTTTAGGAGAAGTAGCCCTATGCTTATGAACATACAATATGCATGAGGTCTCTATAAATCCATCATAAGGTCTCTTCTGACACAACCCTCTAGTCTATCTCTTTGTTACTCGTGGATATTTATATTAATATCATTTTCCTGCCCTTATGGTTGTGTCCTATGTCGATCTAACGACATGATGCAATATGACACTCATCACCGTATAACATGCTTAATCTGGAAACTATCATCATATTAAGGTAAACATCACACAATCATCATACTCATCATATTGCCATAAAGTGCATCAAGCATATCAAGTACGTCATTCATCGAAATATATATACACTACGCACATCATCAAGTATCATAATTCAGACATCATCATAACTCGTACATCATCATAACTAATACATCATCATATACTAGTATACGGCATCATACGATACAACTCATACATCATCATAACTTATACATCGTCATATACTAACATACGGCATCATACGATACAGCTCATACATCATCATATACTAACATACGGCATCGTACGACACAGTTTATACATCATCATAACTCATACAATTTTTAGCATATCCTATAGTAAGGTCACTTACTTGGTTGACCTTAGCCGAAGTATTCCCTAATTTAATTAACGTAAGCTCCCGTTCTTCGAGAGCTGCTCCAAAAGTTGTCGGAGTTCGCTTCCTATCACACCGTTCGGATAGACACAAGGCGGTGTGCCAGTGTGCGATTTCCCCAAGGATAGACACAAGGCAGTGTGCCAATGAGGATGCTGGCCCTAAAGGGGTGGAATTAGTAGGGGTCTCATATCTATTGGAGAAAGAAATTTTTCCTATCTTTTTTTTTTGTCTTCTTTTTAGGATTTGGTTCAAGTTGCTTTCTTAAGGCTTTACACGAGGGAGTTGATTGTCCACTCTCTTTGAGATGAAAACTAGGTTTATTTTCTTTACTTTTCACGTTATTTGTGGGTGACATCTTTATCTCAATAGTCTCCGTCTTAATTTCTAATCCTTTTTCAATATTTTTGCTCATTCTTTAGCATGATGTATAGGTCCAAAACTAGGTTCATTTTCTTTACTTTTCACGTTCTTTTTGGGTGATCATCTTTATCTCAATAGTCTCCGTCTTAATTTCGAATCCTTTTTCAATATTTTTGTTCATTCTCTAGCATGATGTATAAGTCCAAAACTAGGTTCATTTTCGTTACTTTTCACATTGTTTGTAGGTGATCATCTTTATCTCAATAGTCTCCGTCTTACTTTCTAATCTTTTTTCAATATTTTTGCTCATTGTTTAGCATGATGTATAGGTCTCAAAAGCTAACTTTAGAGTTACGTTCATTGTATTCAAATTAAGTTAAAAAAGAGCCGAAATTGGATTGTGTTCGGTTCACACAATGCACACCTTTCATGTGGTTGAGCATAGAGTCAACCTCAATGTCAGGCTAACGCCAAGCCCAAACACACCTCGTCTCCTCTGTGTTCCGATCCTTTTCATATTAACTTTAAAAAATAGCATTACTGTCCTTAACCTTTATTTATTTATTTATTTATTTTTTTTAATTTAGGGATATTAATATTATTTTAAAAATTAATTGGTATTTTTTAAATGTGTACCGACAGTTCCATTCATATATTTAATTTAAAAAAAGGTTTTAAAATATATTTTTATTAATTTAAGTTAAAAGTTTTAAAATAATTTTATTTTTGGACGGGGATCAAATTGGGAAAATGTATGCGACTCTAAAATGGTAATTTAACAAGTTGTATCCATGGTTGTTTGGATATAAAGTCTGACTATTATTAAATAAAATTAGGCCCCCTCCTTCCTTCAAGAACATCTCCGCCTTTCTCTCTGTTCCAGATTTCCAGATTCACGAGAGAAGAGCAAAACGAAATGGAAAATGGCTGCAAAGAAGATGCCGACAATGGAGCTTCATCAACTATGGTGGTTTGTCTTCATCCATCAATGGCTTTCTATTTTTTGACAAATTTGAATTCAAACAAACATTCTCTGCTCACTCCCGAGCCAAGATTTCTCTTCTGATTTTGTAGGTCGATCCGGCCAAGCTTCCATCCTTGACTTGGCAACGCAAGCTCGATTTCACCGGAAAATCTCCAGAGTCGTTCTCTTTCACTCTCAACGACAAGTGGCATCTGGTCATCATAATTTACTCATAAACTCTGTTGAATATTGCGATTTGACGCCATGAAATCGATTCCTCCTTTTCTTTAATTTTCTGATTTCTATCGTTTTTTGTTCCGTTTTATAGGGTCCCTTGGGCTACCGGTTATGGCGTCACGGCAAGGAAGAAGCCGCTAAAGGAAGAGTAATGACAACTGCTTAAATTACTTCAGATCAATTCTGTTTTTCTGTTTCAGTATTGATCATTGATTTCTTCTTGTTTTCTGTTTTCATTTCATTTTCTCTCTCTACTGTATCTTCTATTTCTCTCTCCTCAGATTCCGCTTTATGATTTCTTTGCGTCTCCACCAATCACGTGCTACCATGGCGTATCGTTAGGTGGCATAGGGTAGGTATCCTCCTCCGCTGCCGCACGCGGTTCGCCGACTGATCTTAACTGTTTGACATATGAAATCGTGATCGTTAAATTCAGTGCAGGAAGCATCGGCCGGAGTTACCGAGGAGAGTTTCAACGCTTTCAAATGTTCTATGGACCGAGTGAAGATGTACCAGTTTTAGCCAATCAATTCTCTGTATGTCAATCTCTATACGGTTCTTGTTTCATTATCTTCTTTGTATTCGTTGAATTGTTTCATTATCTTCTTTGTATTCATTGAATTGCTTCATTATCTTCTTTGTATCGTTTGGTATTAGGCATTTGTTTCACGCCCAAATGGAAACAAATTCTCAACTGTATTATGCTCTGCCAGACCTCAAAAATCCAAGTAAGCTATCCACACAGTTTTTGAGTTTCTGAGTTTAATTAGCACCTTTGAATCTTTTGGGAGATTTAATTTACTTGTTTATCTATTCAAATTAATAATACACTCACCCATCTTTTTAAATTAAATTAGCACCCAATTTTGACCAGAAACAAAATTTTCAAATATCCAATTATAATTACTCCCCTTCCATATAAAAAAAAATATTATTTAAACTTTAAAGATTCAATAATATTCTAAAATTCTTAAATTTAAACGGTTAACATTTTGTTATTTAAAAAATATTCACAAAATTTTAAACTAACCCTAAACAACTTTTAACTTTATAAAAAAAAAAAATTTTAAAATTATATGGTCAATAATATGACGAAAATCGTTTGTTAACACCTCATAGATTAATCGTTTTAATTTCATTTTATAAAGTTTATGGGTATGTTTGAAAGGTTATACTAATAGTAAATGTATCTTTGAATTTTTTTTAAATGTTTTGAGGTACTTTGAAGTTTTTTTTTTTAAAAAAAGTTTAAGAGCTTCAATCAAACTTTTAAAATTTAATGGTATTTTTTTAAATACTTTTTAAAGTTAAAAGATATTTTTGAAATTACTTTTAAATTGAAGAGTATTTTTGAAATAAAATATTAACCGTTTTTATACAAAACTAACCCTAAGGGTAGGAGTATTTTCTAGACAAAATCGAGAGTTTAGAAGTATTTTTATTAATTTAGTTTAAATTTTAATTTGGTTACTTTGGCTAATTTATGATTAATTTTCCCTTCTGCAAAATGTGAAAATATATTTACTTTCTCCTATAAAAATTATTATTATTATTTAATCAATTTTGATTAAAGAAATATATATAATAACTTCAAATTAAGGGTAGAAACTAATTTTAAAATGTATTAGAATTAAACATTTGAAAGTAGAAAATGAAACTCAGATATTATCCAATTTCAAAATACCTTAATCTTGATAGGTTGGATTTAGTTATGAATGGTTTTGAGATTTGAAATGAATATTGCAGTATTATTTCCTCTATTTTTCACTTCGGAGGTTTTTTTTTTCACCAGAGATGGAAAGAACGACGGCATAGAAGCATGGGATTGGAATTTGAGTGGAGAAAAAAGTACATACCACGCTCTGTTTCCCAGGGCTTGGACAATCTACGATGGTATGGTTTTACTCCTAATCAGTAAAATCCTGTTTACATCATTTCAGTCAACCCCCTGTTTCTTCTTCTTCTTCTTCTACATATATTTGTTACTTCTTGGAACTAGGTGAACCCGACCCGGATCTTAAGATTGTTTGTCGTCAAATTTCTCCAATTATCCCTCACAATTACAAGGAGAGTAGTTTCCCCGTCTCCGTATTTACATTTAATGTATGACTCTTTAACTTATCAATTAAATTTGAATTAGATCATTACGATGATTTTTTTTTTTTTTTTTTTTATAACTGTTGATTAAAAAATCTGTCTCTAACAGGATACATTCATGTGTAAAATGGATAGTGATATTATGATCATCTCCTTAAATAATCTCTTTTTGAATAAACGAGTGGGAATATTTGTTTGTTTGTTTATATGGCAGCTTTCAAATAAAGGTCCGACTTCTGCAGAAGTAACTTTGCTGTTTACTTGGGCGGTAAGTGCTGCCAAATCCTTCGTATGCACAATTTTATAGTTTTATATTTATACAGTGGTAAGCCATTTTCTTGCCAAATTTTTGGAGCTTTGCTGTTTACCTTTTCAGAACTCTGTGGGCGGAAACTCTGGATTTACTGGTCATCACTTTAACTCAAAGATAGGGTAAGGTTATTCTCATGCTTTTAATTGTTATCATGTGATCCGTTTGGAATAAGAAAACGAAACATTGTTTATAAAATTGTAGAAATCGCTCCCTAGTAAAAGCATTTTAAAACTTTGAGTGAAAGTTCGAAAGGAAAAATTCAAATTCAAAGATAACAATATATGCTAGTGGTGGACTTGACTTAGACTGTTACACATAAATTAGAGGAAGGAATGAGCGCCCACGAGTGCGTTGGGCTTCGAATGGGGTGAAGGGTAAGATCTTGGACTCCAAACTATAGTAGATTCTGAGATCACATATTGATTAAATAGGAGATGAAATATTGAAGGTAATATTTATTGAAAATTGTTGAGAGAATCCAAAGGTAGGAAATAGTCCTGATTTTATGAGCAAGAAATACATTTATAGAAGTATTTATAACCAAGTTTATTATGAATCCATTCTCTAAACTGTCTAACGTGTCAAAGCTGAATTTGTGAGCAGCGCAGAAGATGGAGCTCATGGAGTCCTTTTACACCACAAGTCAGTATTCTTTCATTCATTTAAACAATTTTCTTTTTGGTGGGTTTCAATTTTACCTCTTCAATCTTTGATTTAGAGATTAGAGAGATGTAAAACAAATATCAATTATTCTTTGTTTTTTTTTTTTACCATAACAAATGTGCATTACGTCCAACAGAACCGCGAATGGGCGTCCAACAGTAACGTATGCTATAACAGCAGAGGCAACGGATGATGTTCACGTCTCAGTCTGTCCTCGCTTCGTAATATCTGGTGATTCCGAGGGCATTTCAGCAAAAGATATGTGGCAAGAAGTTAAGAAGGTTAGATCTTTATCCTCCCTTTTGTTATCTCTCAACTATTTTTAAATTATTTGTTGATATGCTCTGTTGTGCTTTCACTAGTATCATATTCTTCTTTTATCCAACAGCACAATAGCTTTAAAGTCAATTAAGGCATTTAAAATTAGGCTTGTTTGGAAAACTATTTCCAAAAACAAAAAAAATATATTTTGCTTTCCAAAACAAAAGCTTTATTTTTTCTTAAAGTTCACTTCTTTATTTGCTATCACCAATCCTTCCTTTAGCCTTTAGAAAGATCCCAGGTCAAATAATTGTCGGTAGAGTGCCTACCACTCTTTCATAATGCTTTAAGATAATGATTTTAAAAGAAAAATCTAGAAACATCAACGAATCAACTCATAATTTCTTTTCATTTCTAAAATGTTAAAAGCTATGTGTGTCTTATTATTTGTCTTTAAAAAAGATAATTCTTTGACATTTCTTAGAAGCCTCCCTATGCATGATTGATTCTTCTTTCCAACAGAAGCCAAAAGGAACAGAGTGGAGGAATTGTCAACTTCACCTTTTATTTTATTTCAAAAAATTCAAGACTTTAAAGTTTGTCTTCGTACAAGCACATAATAATTTGATATGACATATTATTTCAGCATGGGTCATTTGACGAGCTTGGCAGTAGTGGGCCACATGAGGGGTCAAAACCAGGGTCAAGTATCGGAGCAGCCATAGCAGCTAAAGTGAGCATTCCTTCTTCATCTACTCGTACAGTCACCTTCTCGTTAGCATGGGACTGTCCAGAAGTTAAATTTGATGGAAAGACATACCACAGGTCACATCTTGACTCTACTCCTATCAAAGCTGATCAATTGAAAATCTGGATTTTAATTTTAAAAAAGTGTTAGCAATTAATACTCTTTGACAGACGGTATACTAACTTTTACGGAACGCTCGGAGAAGCAGCTAAGACAATTGCACGTGATGCTATATTAGGTAAGTGTTTCTAAAATAGGGTTTGCTTAACAAACAATATTAATGTGTTGGTGATGTGGACTGATGATCGGTGAACTAAATATGGAATAAAAAAAAAAAAAAGAACATGGAAAATGGGAAGGCCAGATAGAAGCATGGCAAAGGCCAATAGTAGAAGACAAGAGGCTTCCTGAATGGTGAGTGGAGAGAATTGTATGAAACAAAACAAACAACTCATTGTCAAATTAAGTCAGTAATAGCTGGTTTTCTTTGATAATGCTGTAGGTACCCAGTCACTCTCTTCAATGAGCTATACTTCCTAAATTCTGGTGGAACAATGTGGACAGGTACTCTCTCTGTCTCTCTGTCTCTCTGTCTCTCTCTTAAGACTTGGAATATGATATAGTTTGGTTTCTTTGTGGGTCAAAATGGGTGCTATCATTTGGTTGGTTTTAAATATTTAAGCCTTTTTAATGTCCTCTTTCACCCACCCTATCTATCCATACTAATTCCCTACCCTTCTAAAACACATTAAATGTTTTTAATTATTTTTAATCTATAACTTTAATTTAATTTAGCTATAAAATAGTTTAGATTAATTAAAGAAAATAAAGTAGGAGGTCAAAATTAAATTTCTAAAAATTTAATCTATTGATTGACCACAATACCTATGGCAACCAAAAAAACCACATGTCAAATCGACTCTGAATTTATGGATGGTTAAATAATATTGATTATAACAATCTCTAGAGGTAGTAATTTGTCCAAATTGTAATTCATTCAAATATTGTCTCAATGAACACGTATTAAAATTTTAAATTATTTTATTTTTTAAAAATAAATTTGTTAAGTTAAGAAATAATACTCATGAATTTCGTTTTCTTGGTTAAAAATTGTCCCTAAACTTTTTAAATTTTCAATAATAAACTTTCAAAAAATAAAAAATAAAATATACTTTTATCATTAATTTTCAATTAAAACGTTTGATATTTAGTTTTAAAAATATCGTTAAACTCTCAAAATTTTATTAATATTTTATATTTTTTAAAAAATTAAAAAATAATATTTTGTAATTATAAGAACAAAATTACATTTAAATATTTCAATAGTAGCAAAATCATTTATCTACACTCTATAAATTATTTTTCTTTGATATCATCCTTATTTCCCTATCTTCTGATTTAACATATGAGTTAATAATTTCTTATTTCTCATATTTTTTCTACTCTGGTTTCTTGAATACATTCTTAATTCTCTTTTGTTTTTTATTCCTCAATCCCTAAAACTTCTCATACTTTCTTTCTTTTTTCCTTTTTTTTTCCTCTTCTCTTCCTAAGTATCAAAACTTTGAATAAAAAGATGAGTTTTGTCATTTCTCAATATTTCTGTACATAATTATAAAAAATTTCAACATCTAAATAGTAAATTTATTTTAAAGTTATATCGAGATGTACTTTCTCTTTCGTGCTTACCTTCAAAATTTTAAAACGTGTCTGCTAGGGAGAGGTTTCCACAACCTTATAAAAGGTGTTTCATTCTCCTCCCAACTAAGGTGGGATCTCACCTAAGCTCTAGTTCAATTGAAAAGACCTACATCCTACCACATGGGATTAGCTTATCACTTAAGTGATGCATGAACATGTGAAATACATTAGGAGAAATAGAAACGAAGGATGACAAATCTAACCAATATGTCACTGATCCAATCCTCTCCAAAGTTTCAAAACACTTAATGAAATGTGAGTTTAATTTGCATTCATGCTTAGACCTCAGAACACCCTTCATCGACACTATCTTTAGGAACATGTTATCACCTACCTTGAATTTTAAGTTTTTATACCTTATATCAACCTAACTCTTCTGTCTATTTTGGATGGTACACATTCTTACCCTTACCTTATATACGACTTTTTTGGTAACTAGGACCAACTCTGATTCTAATAATTCCCTTTCACTCTCCTTGTTCCAATACTTTTAAGGACTTACAAAACTTTCTGTGGAGGCTTTGAATGGTGCCATACTATAGTTGCTTGAATTATAAGAAATTTTCATGAGGGGTAACTTGGTGTTCTTAACCGTCTGTGAAATGGAAGACCGGTTAATATCAATACCAAGTTTTGCCTATTTTTTCTTAGGATAGAGAACATTATTTAAAGTAATATATGCAATCTTGTGACTGAGACCATCCCCGCTACTCAAACAATGTTATAATCTTTCACTATCTTATGTGAAACTAAAATTAAGTCCACGACAACATTGTTCTTTCTCAACCAGAACGGTTGAAGAGTCGTAATAAATCAACAAACATGTGTCACACAACTTTCAGTTGTTGACCTATTAAGTACTTTACTAATTACCATGATATCTTTCGTTCCATATTTTTTTTCCTACAATATACTATAAATACCCTCCTTGAAACTATTATACATCTTGGTACCATCTTGATGCATTAAAAGAAATTTTGGGTAGTTCCTTTAACAACTCTTTCGGGAGGGATAACCCCTTAGTACAAAATCTTCTTTCATTTGACCTACTACTCTCGTATTTAGCCAATTTGGGATCTACTTATTAATGGTCAATGATGCAAGTTTCAAATTATTAAGGGGAAAAATAAATCTATGTTCCAGGAACATTAACATTCTCATGTTACTTTAGTACGCAAACTAGTCATTTTCCTCAAACACTACTAAAAATTACTAAGCCTCGTATATTCTTGAACATCTTCACACTAGGGTTGGGGTTTGCCAAGTTTAACTTTTGAAAGCTCTTCTCATAGCCTTTACTATAAGTGAAAGTTATGTCTCGTCAAGCCATCAGAGTCAATTTACAAACATTTGAACAAACCTTCAACATTTTCTTACGAAATCAAGAGACTAAAAATTTTCAATCTTCGTAATGAGTCTAGGCCCACTACAAAATAGTTCTACTTTACGAAGATCCATTAGACTACATTCCTTAGAATGTGTTTAGAGACTCAATCTTGTTTAACCAAGACTTATACTTAGACAACTTGGTTTAAAGCTTACTATATAAGGGTGTCAAAAAGTTGGCTTATCTTATTATCTTTTTAGTCTCTAGTTAAGCTCCTATGACTTATATAAGCATTACAAAGAATGAGTCTAGGAATCTCTTTGAAGACTTAGGTTATTGAAATTTGTGTAAGCTACGGAGCATTAGTGTAAACATGTCTAAACAAAGACATCATAATAAACTAAAAAAGAACATGCCTAAACTTAAAGAAACTTTTTTCACTATACCTAGATCAATTTCTAGTAATTGATATATCACTTCATGGGTGCACTCTTTGGAAACTACCATGATGCATGTAGCCTTGGCCTAGTGACTTGTGTTTGTAACAATAGATACTTCAACTCTGCTAGGGTCATTCTATGCATAGCCTATAAAACTTGAGTTCATACCTCTACCTCTTTGTTAAAATCAACATCTCGCATAGGTGTATTGGGAAGATTATTGTGAGTAGAATATCTAGTGGTTTGAAAATAATTTCTAGTTAATGATGTATAATCATATAACATATACCAAATCATGTTTATGGTGTCTCGTCCAACGTATTCATATTAACACGGAATCAGGATAATCCTATATGAGTGCACATATCACATAGATCATACATAATTATTAAATTCAATAACATAGATTAATGCATACATCAAACAATTTATCTAACTTATCCCTTGGGCATTCTAATAATAAGTTGATACATTTTGTTGAGCTGCAATCGACCTTTTATATCTTTCTTTTGTTTGAAGAAATGATTTTGTAAATCAAATTTCCTGATCTCAGACGGCTTACCTCCGCTGCAAAATCTATCAACCATAAGTCATCAAAAGATTTTCCTCGAAAGGACAAAATCGGAGCCCAATGGAGCACCCAACGGCGACCACCGCCTGGACGTCGCCGTTGAGATTCTCGAGAGAATGTCTCAGATCTTCGATCAAGCCCACGGAGGCGCCGGACCCTCAAACGCTGCACTCGGAACCAGATTGCTTCCTACTCTACAAGAGAACGTCGGCCAGTTACTCCTCGTCGAAGGAAGCGAATACCTAATGTGGAACACTTTCGACGTCCATTTCTACTCCTCTTTTGCTCTTATCATGCTTTTCCCCAAACTCGAACTCGGCATTCAGAGGGATTTCGCCGCGGCTGTTTTGATGCACGATCCCAGAAAGGCCAAGATCATGAGCGACGGAAAGTACTATCCTCGCAAGGTTATTGGTGCTGTTCCTCACGATATTGGCTTCAACGATCCTTGGTTTGAAGTAAATGCTTACAACCTTTTGAACGTCACCAGATGGAAGGATTTGGGTTCCAAATTCGTTCTTCAAGTTTACAGAGACGTGGTTGCTACAGGGGACAAGAATTTTGCAAAATCTGTTTGGCCTTCGGTGTATGTAGCCTTGGCTTTCATGGATCAGTTCGATAAGGATAAAGATGGGATGATTGAGAATGAGGGGTTTCCTGATCAAACTTATGATGTTTGGACTGTGAAGGGTGTGAGTGCATACTGCGGTGGGCTGTGGGTGGCTGCTCTTCAGGCGGCTTCAGCATTGGCTTATGAGGTTGATGATGAAGCAGCTGCTCACTACTTTTGGATCAAGTATCAGAAGGCAAGAGGTGTTTATGATACGTTATGGAATGGCTCTTACTTCAACTATGACAATAGTGGTGGTCCTTGGAGCTCGTCCATTCAAGCTGATCAACTGGCAGGACAATGGTGAGTGAACAAGCTTTTATTGATCCCCTTTTACTTTTCTTGCTTTTACATTTCTTTATCTCTTGTGGCCTGGCTGAATTTGCATGATTTTGGAGCTGTCTCTGTTAAGAGGATGGATTGAGTAGTAACTTGACTGTGTTTTGTTAGCAATATCTCGACGCTCTACCATGGTATGATATTGTTCACTTTGAGCCTAAGCTCTCGTGGCTTTACTTTTGAGTTTTTCAAAAAGCTTCCTAACAACGGAGATATATTCCTTACTTATAAACCCATGATTATCTCCTTAATTAGCGGATGTGAGACTCCCCACTAACAATCTTTCACATTCTGAAAACACAGGTATGCTAGAGCATGTGGGCTTTGTCCCATTGTTGATGAAGAGAAGATAAGGAGTACACTTGAAAAGATATTCAATTTCAATGTCATGAAGGTGAAGGGAGGAACACGCGGGGCAGTAAACGGGATGTTTCCAGATGGAAGGGTTGATAGATCCATATTGCAGCCAAAGGAGATTTGGGCTGGAGTTACATACTCTGTTGCTGCCTCAATGATTCAAGAAGGAATGGTGGAAACAGGCTTCCAGACTGCAATGGGCATTCATCAAGCTGCTTGGGGTCAAGATGGCCTCGGGTACCACATTTTGTTCTTTATATTCTGGAATTCCACTGGTTTTTAAGCCACTTTTCTTGAACTTATAAGAAATTTGATATCTGTTTGTTCTGAAATCCTGTTCAGGTATTCATTTCAAACCCCAGAAGCATGGGACATAGATGATAAGTATAGATCTTTGGGGTACATGAGGCCATTGGCGATTTGGGCAATGCAGTGGGCGATTTCGAAGCCTACTCTTCTGAAGAAGCACAAAGTTCCAAGAAAAGAGCTTTCTGAGAGTGAAGAATCATGCTTATTTTCCACACAACATGCTGCTTTCTTGAAAGTTGCATCTCTCTTGAAGTTGCCTTCTGAGGAAGCTAAACCCAGGAGTGTTGTGGAGGTTGCTTATGATTTCATTTGTAAGAGGTCAGCCTAACTACTCAATTCAAATCACTCTAATTAAATGGTTTAAGAAAGTCCCTTTATATGTGGGTTTTTTTCAAGGGAATATGTTGCACAACGCATTTTCTTGTTGTAAGAATAAGTTGTATCATTTTGTATTGTAACTAATGCTTGTCTTCTTTTTCCAATTTTATTTTTAACCTTTTAATATATTCAATTTTATCCATCAACGTTTGGTTATTTAGTCAGTGTTCTTGACTTTTTCTTTGAGAAAATATGATGTTCCAAACTTGAGCATAGAACTATAATTAAGACACCGTACTTGTATCTTCAAAACTAAAAATTTGCATCTTAATAATAATGTAACATTACAATATGAAATATTCTTTTCTAATATTTATTATAAGTTAATTAGAAAATGACTAAATAACATATACAACAACACAACAATGCTTATAGAAATATATAAATATGTGAAAAATATATAATTGTTTTTTTCCTTACCTAAAAAATATATTGTACATGTTTGGTGTACCTTAGATATTTGAAAAATGTAATGACAAATTAATATAGGCTTACATAAAATAAATAGACGTGATATATACCGACGGTTACATAAACCAATGGTTACAAAACATAGAAACAAAAAGAAATACAAAAATAATTAATTATGTTTCACCTATTTTGTCCTCTAGCTTGTTCGAGAGAAGAGCTATGATTAAATATTTCCATGCCTGTTTCTTTAGCCAACATCACCTTGGTTTCAATCTTCACCCTGAATTTGAAACGTAAAATTGACATTTAAAGGCAGAAACTAAAACACACAGGGTGATGAGAATTCTACTTAATCAATTAATGAACAAGCTCGTACATCATAACATATATAAACCGAATGCTTTTAATAACTTGGTCGATATGAAGGCAGGCAATGCAAATACAACAGTCAATCCCCTACACGGCGGATTGAACAAGTTCAACACATTAATAACACCCTCTCCTCTCCTCTCCTCTCTTCCTTACTGCTTACACAACCAACGATCCTAAACCTAATTTATCAAAAATTCAACGACTTGCCCCATAAACTTGAGTAGAATCATACTGTGGATACCCAGGCTGCGGCTGAGGCTGTGGCTGTGGCGACACACTCTTCCCGTAACCTACAGGAGCACTTGAAGGCACAGTTCCATACCCACCTGATTGTGGAACTGACTGATCATAGCTTGGCTGAGCTGCAGTCTGTTGAGGATAAGTGGGCTGCCCACTGGCTGGCGCAGAATAAACTGCTGCAGCAGTTGCTTGGGCACTGCTATATGCAGCGGGATCTTGAGGTGCTTGGTATGCAGCATATCCAGCAGTATTTGCAGCAGCCTGCTCGGGATAACCCTGTTGCGTGGTTGGATACTGCTCATATGCGGCAGCAGGAGCTACTTGCTGGCCATAGGCAGACAGTTGCTGTACACCAGGTTGACCATAACCTGCCTGGCTGCCCTGCTGCGGGTGGTAATTGGCAGCAGCGGCAGCAGCAGGTGCCTGGTTGTAACCATCTGTGTTTGGTATGCCATAGGGGGTAGGATACTGCTGAGTAGAGCCACCAGTTGGGTATTGATACGTCTGTTGAGGTTGCACATTTTGCCCATATGTAGCAGGTGCAGACCCACCTTGATAAGGCTCTCCAGGCTGACCAACCCTAGGAGCGCCATAAGACTGGGGAGGAGGTCCCTGCGCTGGAGCACCATATGATGGAGGCTTATCATACTGTTGTTGTCCAGGGTATACCTGTTGAGCCCCAGCCTGAGGGTAAAGTTGCTGAGCATTCCCATGCCCACCATATGGATTCTGCGATGGAGCATGATGATCATATTTCTGTTCATATCCATGGCCATAGCTCTGATGAGGAGCAGCCTGAGAATAGGGAGCAGCATGCCCATAACCTTGGTTTTGCTGCTGACTATAGTTGTAACTGGACTGAGTTTGTGGTGGACCGAGAGCTGGAGCAGGAGAAGGGCCAGGAGCATGTGCAGGCATAGCACCAGGGAAATGAGAAGGTGGAGCATCTGAATAATGGCTTCTTCCACCATAGTAGTCATAACCACCCGAACTTGGCGGTGGCCCCTGCATACTGGGGGGTGGCCTTTGCTCCCAACCAGAGCTATAACTGCTCCGAGGACCACCCATTTGTTGAGGATAGTTTCCAAATGCAGGATGCTGATACTGGGTATTATGAGATGGATAAGGTCCTCTGTGTGGATAATCATATGCTGCAGGATGTGAAGGATGGGGACCCCGTTGACCCCATTGATTACCACCAGGACCACGGGGCCGGTAAGCCTGTTGGTTAAAACCAGTGGAGTGTGGTGAAGGCCTCACAGTCTACTCCAAGGACAAACAAAAAGATGAGTAAGTAAACCGTGGAAATTATTAATCAACAGTTTGATTATAAGCTAGTAAAAGGAATAAATAAAGTAAATGAGCAGCGTGAACTTGGTGATCCAAATCTCTTGTTCAAGAACATTGGGTGAGCCCCTGGTACATATTAGTTCCAGAAAATAAGCAAGATGAATCAAAAACATTAAAAACTCAGCAAATTACCATTCTGATGTTCAGAAGAAATAAAAGTAAGGTAAAAGGCTTTATAACAAAGAAAATACCAGATAGATCATATCATTGAAGATCAAACCAATAAAATACCAGATGTATTATATCGCTCTAAACCATTGCATGCAAGGGAACAAGTACTTCAACAGGGATTTAAGATATACAAAAGCATTCATAAATATCAGAACAGGGAGCACCCAGGTTAGCATGGCTTCTAAGTTAAAAAGAAAAGAAGCGCCAATTACAACTGCCCAAATAATTCAAAAGGTCGTGTAGTGAAGTAGTCAAATTACAACTAACAAAACATGCCCTCAAATCATAAAAACATTAACAAACTTGAAAAGCTTCTTAGGAAAAGGATGAAAAGCGCAGAAAAAGTCTAGTGATGACAAAATCATGGTCTGAGAGAGATTAACATTTGAACTCTGGCATCTCACACATGCATTGTTCTGTTTCATCAAATAGATAGTGATTCTTCTAAACAGATGCCAGATATACCGGCATCAACTTCACAACTAAATCTTATCTCTTTCATTCTGAAGTAGTGACCAACACATGCTGAGCATTTCACTGTCAGACAGATCATCCAGGAAAAAAGGAAAATATCAACAAATAATTACATTGATATTGATTGCCGTTAGTTTAAAGCGATTATGTTGCTATAGTGCAGTTAAGGTGGCATGAACCAAATTTCCATGCCTATGATGCCTCAGTCAATGGTATCAGCTTTGAATACTATTGGTCCCATGCAAATGAAAGCATCATGACTTCAACCAGGCATTACTTTCTTCCAACACAATCTCAAGCATAGAACATGGGTCCACTAATGAGCACTAAGGTTAATGCAATACATTCTTACTCAATTATTCTTAGTTTGAAATCTTGAAGCAATCTTACCAACTATTAACATCCTGCAATCGCGAGATTTAATGCCTGATACCTCTCTTCAGTGGATGGGAGTGAAAAGTAGTTGGCTATTGCTACACCAAGAAAGCAATGTCGACCCCATGGAAAAGGCAATATTGTAATCTGCAGTTTTAAAGCCAACCAATTCGAGTTTGACACCTTTATGATAGATAAATTATGGCAACCGGCATCTTGGATTTCAGTATAAGATCTTTCCTAGAACATTCATGTGATCTTTGCATAGACCATTCATTGATTTCACAAGCTATTAGGACCACCAGTCAAGTGATTTCCCCAATCCCATTAAAGATAATCATACAAAATCTGCATACTGTTTCCCATAGCAGTGATTGTTAAACCCGGCCAAATTTATATACTCAACCAGCATGATTGAAAAGAATCTAGCACTGTTCCATCAATGACATCAAGTGGACAAAAATACAACACACCTTCCACACCTAGAACTATATAATATAGCATATAGATGCTAATATTTTGCTTCTCTGACACTGAGCAGATTAATCTGTATGATAATCTTAACGCTGTTACTTCAGAACCTTAATCTCTAGTCTCAGACAAGACTGGTAAGCAAGATTAGGTACCAATAATAGCAAAACTGCTGAAAATAATAAAAAAAAATTACAGAAATGAACATATACATAGATATATCACCAAGAATGAACCATATTCATGGAATGAACTTATGTATGGTACAGAAAGAACATACTAATAATTCAAATCCAAAAATTAATAAAAGTAAGCAAAGGCCAAATTTAGATGATATGAACATGCTAAAAGCATTTTTATGATACAGAAAATCAAAGTCATAATTCCAAGTAAGGATTTAGGGATATAAGGACCAAAATGTCTGGAGGAAAGGTGATGTGTTAAAAGCATACCTGATTCATAACTTCTTTTATCATGTCTGTAGCAATTTCAATCTGCTTCTTATCACCAGTAACTCTAATAGTCCTTTCCTTAGATTCATCTCCTTCTGGAAGATTTTGGGGTATCAACTACATGAAAATCAGATCTAAGTCAGGCACGATGGTTATATTAAACCATAAAAATTAATTAGCATGTACCATAAAGATAGATAGGTTTGCAACATATCAACTACCTGTATACGTGCACCAGATCTGGTCTGCAGACTTTTGATAGTCTCCCCACCTCTTCCTATAATTAAACCAACCTAGGTAAAGAAAATCAGGTAAGCTATTGAGAGAACCAGTTGATAAGCAATCCACATAAATTAGGATTCCAACCTTCTCATTTGGGACTTGTATCTGAATCTGTTCGGCAGTTGCCATAGAATGTGATGAAGTAAGGCCCCTGGCTATGAGTGATGGAGATCCACCAGCATCAGCCTATGACAAAATAAAATTTACTCAATAATTCAATATCAGGACAACAAACCTCCAACAGATGCTAAAACAACAATTAAATGAAAAATACTAGTCACTGAAAAAAATCAGGAGAAGTGGAAAAAATACAAGCATAATGGCATATAAATAAAAACTAATAATAAAAAGAGTAAATACCTCTGCAATCACGGCATTAATTAACTCCTCTGCCTTTTTTATACTTTCCGAAGTTCCAACT